TTTTTGTGATTTTGTTGCACTTTGTGCAATAACCATAAAGGAATTCTTTGTGCAAGGAGTGATTGGCATTGCACATGCTTTCAAAGGAACCACATGCTCTGCGTGTATAAAAATATAATGATATGCTGGTTGTAAATTTCAGCACCAATATGGCAAACACATGTTGGAAGCAGCCACCTTTCTGGGCTTGTTGTTTCAAATGTGATCAATCTTAATTTTCAAGTAGTGGGAAGAGTTTCAAAGAAAAAGCTTCCCATAATATTTGAGCAACACATACATTTCTTTTTCACTTGACAGGATGGCTTATATTTAAGCGTTCTCAATCATAATGTTGAATACATTGGTGTGACAAATTGTAGGGCAGTTTGCAATATGATTAGTTTTTAAACAAAAGCCCAAACCATGCACAAAATACTACATTTCACAAAAAATGTAATAATTTTTGACTGGGACAGTCATCAGATTAAATAGACGGTAAATTCACATTTTGTCTCAAAACAAATGATGCAGTCATCCATTGAGCCAATCACAACTAAACAACATTTAAGACCCAACACCACCACTACTTCCGGAGAACCCGGAGTGAACCCAAGCTGACACGGGGAGAGCAAACTCCACGCAGAAGACTCATGGGTAGAATCCAAAGTGTTTCTTATTTATCTGTTAGTGCTAGTGCTTTGTTTGTTCTGTCCTTGACACCATGCTTCTGATACTGTTCAAGATTTGGACACATGCTCGCTGCCACTTTCCAATTGAGCTCAGGTGGTTACAGGAACAAGACATATTCTGTACTTGATATTGAGGCACTGACTGCTAGTCTGATTTTCTGAATTTTGTCAGTGAAGAAGGAGGGAAATTCATTACAGGCACTGTTGGAAAAAAGTAAAGTAAAACTTATGGTCAAAGGCTGGGTGCCTGGGCCTGTCTTTCCTCCCTGAGTTTTATTCCATTGACATCAATTCTGTCATTTGCCAACAGACGCCAAAACAATTTCACGCCCCAAATTGTTGCTATTTGTTTTTTTCTTTTCAAATAGGACACACGACTGTAGTGAGATTTTAGTTTCACCCTGACTATCATTTTGATAAATTAAGTGGGTACTGGTTGTTCTTTGTACAGATTTGCTTTAGATTTGTAAGATGTCAAAAGGATGAAACAATGATGAAGGGCCTACTTTAATAATGAATAATACAGTGCAAAGTACAAACAGTACTTCCCTCATATTCCCACATGGAAGTTCCCTTTCATTCAGTTTTTTCCTTGGTTTTTCTAGGTGGATTATTGCTAAAGTTTTATTGTGATAGTTAAATTCATTGTTATTAATACCTTTTTCAAATCGTTTCTTATCTTACCGTAAAGTAATCTCTATAAAGAGATTCTGCATTCATAGAATCTGTAGGAAATGGGAAAAGATTTTGGCATTGGAAGATTTCTGGTTTCTGTTTGTAGTCTGTGTAGTATTGCTCAATCTCGTTCAAGCAGGCTTTGGTTGATTGCAGGTAAAAGTGTGTGTGGAGAACAAAAGAGGTGGAACGCACTGGCCGAAATGCAATCTTGGAACCTATCGGCTATCGTTGGACGAACATTTCTCTTGTTATTGGTTTAAAATTAGCTTGTAAACTGGCTACTTGTGAAACAACCCAGTCGTACACGTCGATTCTCAACTGCAACTCAAGTCTTGCATCTCAAGTTGCACACGGAAAAGGAAGTCTTGGCCCGGATATCTGCTGGTCACACTGCATCCCCAAACATATAACAAACTGTTTAACTCCAACCATTTATGTTTGACACATCCCTCAAGAATGGCCATGTCTGGAATGGTTTTCATGGGGTATGTGTTGGAAGAAATGAATGCCTTGAGAACAAAGCCAAACATACCACAACATGAACAACAAAAAGCATTGAAAAAAACTGGAAAATTTGGTTGAGAATGTTTTTTTTGGGGGGATGGTTTTGTTCGTGTTTTTTTAGCATAGATTTTATGGGCACTTAATTCCTAATAACAATAAGATGATAATAACTTATTGTCTTTACAATTAATTATCAATTGTACCCCACAATTATCTATAACCCATAAATTGGCTCATATGAATGTTTTGACATGAAGCATGTCTCTTAAATCACTTAACTTAAATCACTTTTTTTTTAATCACTTTTATTATTACTCATATTACTATTTCATATTACCGATACCATTAATGCACATTATTGACCTGCTTCTTCACCAGAGTCTCTGTGCTTTCTCGCCTCACAGGTTCCTGTGTATCTGGATTATACCTGGACCTGGTCTTGCCTCCTGCCGTGGTTCTGTCATACATTGAATGTGTTGTAATTACATTGAATGTGTTGTAATTCAGTTATCCACACATGACATCTATTGCGCTTCTGTCCATCCTGGGAGAGGGATCCCTCCTCTGTTGCTCTCGCTGTTTCTTCCTCTTTTCTCCCCGTTAAAGGGGTTTTTTGGGGGAGATTTTCCTGTTCCGATGTGAGGGTTCCGGGACAAGAGGATGTCAAATGTGTACATATTGTAAAGTCCTCTGAGGCAAATTTGTAATTTTGGGCTATACAAAAATAAATTGAATTGAATTGAATTAAAGAAACAGTATAAATGTTGCTGAAAAGACGTTCGTGGAAAGCAAGAGGCATCAAGATGAAAGACCTTGCTGACATCCTGAGTGTTTCAGGAAGAAATAAGCCCATTTAATGTAGGAATGTCCTCTCAGATAATTTCAGAAGCAAATGAATGTCTTATGTATGAAATATGACATCTTTCATCTTGAACACATGATCTTCACTGATCCCTTTGGAGATTTAATTTCACATATATGCAGTGAAGGAAAATCCAAAACCTGTCATGAACATTTGTTTTTATTTGATTTATAATTCTTTTTGGGACATACTTTTTATTTTTGGATGATGGATATGAAGAACATCTGTATATCTTCTTCTGACATTCTCACTGTTCTGCACAGTCATGATGTTGGAGTCATAAACCTATCATTAATCCTCAGGTCGCTCTTAAAACTGGCTGCCCCGCAGTCTACCCTGGAGGTATTACATTGCCCATAACTACCCTTGGCTTTTAGGCTATGACAGGAATTATGACCTTAATAAAGTTGGCTTTGCAATATTTGCATGCCTAAGCATCTTACAACTGATACAAAAAGACTGTCTGGCTCTGCTTTAGGGCTCCTCTGGGCCGTCTCTTGGCAAGTGGTGGATGTCTTCATGACTTAACGGGCTGTCTAAGTGACTCAGAAATACTTTGAGTAGAAAGTCAAAGTGGCCAGTTCAGAAGTGCCACTTGTTATTTCACTACTCATGTATGGCGAGATTCCTTTGCTCCAGTTAGAGTCTTTGCAGTCATCACATCTAAAAATTTGACAAAGGCACCAAAGAGTTATTAAAAAATAAATAATGAGCAAATAAAACATACATCCAACTCAAACTGCCTGCACGCTCGACTAAGTCAGTTGACATTTAAACTACAGTATCATCTCGGTTCATCCATGTTGGTAGAAGACGTCCAACTGCATCACAGGCTGTCCTAAAGAGGCGATGTGTTATTTTCAGGACTCTGGCTCTGTTTAAATTTCTTGGTGACTCTGCAAAAAAACAAACAGCCCGCACTGTAACTTAATTCTCAGGATAAATCCTTCAGCAGGATAAGTGTAACTGAATGGGGCTAGTGTTTATCCAGTAGTCCTCCTCATCGTAACACTGTTTGGAGACTGTGACATTTATCAACAAAGAATGCTGGTCTCCAAGATTTGTTGTTTATGGCCCCCTGTTGGATATTGAGGAAATGGAGAAATTTCTGAAATTTGCAAATATATACTGATTATTATTTACTGTCCTAAAGGATTGTTATATTTTGTGTATTTGATTCAGATTTCATTTTTTCTAGAGGCACACGGGACTAAATTAGCAGCAGCACCATTATATTGATCTCCAGATTTCCATATGATCTTATTTACATGTGTGAATCAAAAACATTTCTTGGTTTGCTTCATTTCTCTTTCAATCTCATGAATTTAATACCGAGAGAAACCTACAGTTATCTAATACAATATGTGATACTATGCAGAATAACTGTACGGGTTAATAACATCTTGGTTAAAGCCTGAAGTGGATTTCAAAAACTAATTTCTGAACCACTGATCTAATAACCTAATAACTGAAAAACTGTCTTTTACTATATTGTATTTTACTTTGTAATATTTGTAATGACTGACATGCTTTTTTTTTTTGTAACATTCTGTGCTGCATCTTTGCTGCTCATTGGGACTAATGGTCGTACAAGTAAATAAATATGGATCACGCTCTGGGTTTTGCTTTATTGTTAAATCAAATCAGAAGTCAGAAACCTCAAGCTGCATATGCAGAACAAAATGGGATGGAACTGATGACACAAATGTAATTTACAGGTGCTGAAGGTCATTTCTGTGTTTGCTTTCTATCCAGGATGAAGGCCCATGAGAAAAAAATAGCTTTAAAAATCCCATTAAAGAATCAATGTGAATTTGAATACAATATTAGTTGCAACACTTACACAAGTCCACCGCAGGTTTTTCATCTCTCAGTGAGAATTGGAGGGGTGGGGCCTGTAATGCCCGCTGGCAGTGCTGCAGTTTGGATGCAAATATCACGGCTTTTTAACTTCTTCTTGGAGTTGGATGCAGTTCGACGCTCCAAAGTGGACTTAAAATACGCAGCTTGCAGGAGCTTCAGTGCAAACATTCTGACTTAAAAAGTCAGAGTGACTAAATTCATCGGAATAGCCTGTATATGTTTTATGCATATAATCTTTTACTGGAGGAATTTATTTGTAATCCATTGCACATTTTGTATCATGTGCATCCACTTCACAGCCTGCCAGGAAGTTGCCTCGAAATTGTCACAGATGTGAAAGAAATGAAATAATATGTCTTCTTAAATGATGACAGAGAAAAGTTGCATGGGGGTATCCTGGAGGAGGAGTTCTTTGCGACCAAACAAGTAACGGATTTTCCCTTATAAAAAAGGAAATTGAGACCCGACTGCTCAATGAACAGCATTATTCGGAGACCTCGCTGCACAGGTGGGTTGATTCTTATTTCACATTTTACTATTTGTATTAACTGAGTCAAAGCTTTGGTTCGCGATTTCTTATGAATAAATTAATATCCTAATTTGTGGTTCTGTAGAAAATCTAGAATTTTGTTTGTGTTACTTTATTGTACCATATACATAGCAACGGTTCTCGTTTTGACATGATCAATAAGCATTATTATCGTCATTATTATTACGATTATAATTATTGAATGTATGCCGGTGGCGACCCTATTTTGTTTTATGTTGCAATCAATACATTTTGCCAGTGAGATGATTTAAATTTGAGATTCTAAGTGCCCAATTTTTAGCCGTCGTGAGTGCTAACGCGACTTTTTCCTCATTTCCAAACTCATCCAGTATTTAGCCGAAAATGTGTATTAATACGGAGAATTCATTTTGGCACATCATCTTTTGACAGTTTCACTGACTAATCTGAATTTAAAAGTGGGACAGTTTAGGATTACATTCTGCAGCATCTATCCATACACATGCACACACACACACGCACACACGCACACTAGCTGGAGATACATACATGTCGGCCTCCCCAGCTTCAAAGTGGCAGGCAGGGAGAGGTTCAGAAAAACAACAGGAAAGTGAGGTGACGGCGGAGGTGTTGGACTGGGGACAGGTGGGGATCTGCACTTGATTTTCCTTCTCCCTGAGGAGCAGTGCAATGCAAACAGCTGTAATCCAGCATGGAGCCTCAGAGGCAAAGCCCTGCTCAACTGAGCTGTACAAGATCAACTCTCTGACTGCTGGAGCTGTGTGGGCTTAAGTCCTACATGGAAACTCAAAAAGAGAGAGCCTGTTGGTGGTTTGATTGGAGGCAGAGAATGATGATGTTCTCCTCTGCGTGTGAGCGTTGAGTGTTTTTCAACTGCTGCACATTTGACCTCTCACTGCCTGAACTCTCTAAACTGCAGAGCCAAGGAACTGGAAGTGATTACCGAAATGGTTGAGGCTTCTGTTGGTCCTGGTGATGAGCCAGGTGTTTCTCATCACTCTGCCGATAGATAGCTGAGGTGGGCATGCTAATCATCGACAGATTTAGATTAAAAGGTGTTGAGAGCATAAAGGTGATGATGTCTCTGTTTTCTCTGACAAAAGCTTCAGTCAACACTTCATGTCCTTGTTCCCTCTTTTCTGTTGCATCGTCTCTTCGTGTTCTTCTTCTCTTTCTGGTTTTCATTGTGGCTGGCGAGCATGCCCTAAAGTTTATGACTTGGATGTACAAATTAGGGATTATATGAACATCAAAAGAAACAGAAAATAAATGGTCACGATGACTGTGAAATCAAATAAAAATTGGGTTTTGCTGATTTAAAAGCCAGAATTTACCACTTTTTTTTTTACTTCTGGAGAATAGCAGATGTAATTTTGAAAAAAAGTGAGGTTTGTGTTTTGGGGTTAGTGTAGGGCCACACGTTGCAGGGGACAGGGAAATGTTGGCCCCCCACCTGTGATCATTCCTATGTGAGGAGAAACGACACATGACCTCACAATGAAATGTCTGAAATTTGTGCCTTTTTTTTTAATCCTTTCTTTGCCCTCTTTGTCTATTGTTGCACATTGCAAAATCAGGTGTTACTGTCCTCCCTGTTTGTGTGTAATTGAGGCATTGTGGTACAGGTCTTATGCATTGGTGATCTTTGTACAGCTCTGAAATATGTGTCAAAAAGGCAATAGGTTCAGTTACAGGCAGAAAGTTCATCGACAGGTTGCATTTGTAACTCTGAGCTCCTTCTCAAGTTCAATAAATTCCCAGTGTGGGAGCTCCCTTTCAGCGCTTGAATAATTGATACATCAAACTTAGGTCTTACAAAAGGAGGCAATTTCATCTCCTGACTATTTGATGAGCGGGGCTTAGTTTCATTGAGCTCAGCTGAATGTGGCTGATGGTGAGGAAAGGCACACAGTTTATTGGATGAGGGAGCAGAGACAGAGAACTTTTTTTAAAACAGATGGGCTAAGAGTACACAACAATCAGTTTTCTCAGTGAGTTTACAGTCGGACCGTGTCTCTTATCTGCATGGCGTGTGAGAGCAGATATGGATGGGCTGAGGTGTGCTTCTGGCAGGTCGTGGGAGTGCTGGCTTGTGAAAGAGTCTCTGGCACATGTCTTGAGTTACTCAGTGCTGGAAAGGTTATGTTCTGAGTGATCCAGAGACTTAGCATGTCCCATTCCCCAATCATCACTCTCTCAAGTAACAGGTGCTGCAGAAGACTGGCTGCTTGCACCACTCTTTTGGCTCATGCCTGTAAATATGACTTTAGCCGAGAGGTGTCAATGACATTGTTAGTCATTAAGTGTTAAGAAGAAAATCAGCCTACTGGTGGGGAAGAGAGTCTGGAGTCTTTCCCAATTAGGAGAAGATAAATGTGCCTATGTCCTCTGTTTTTGTTCGATACAATGGAAATTGTTATGATTAGAAAGGGAACTCCCTTTTTTCCGAATATGAGTCTTTAGGATTGAACAAGTCTGCAATCTGTGACTCATTCGGCATCGACAGGCTTTGACAGATCCCCTTGTTTTGAAATGAAGAAATGTCACATTGATGTTTAACATTTTCTACTTGGGACTCTGTGTTCCTCCATTTCACACACACACATATACTGTGTGTGTATATATACATACATATATATACATACATATATATACATACATACATATATACATATATATACATACATATATATACATACATATACATACATACATATACATACATACATATACATACATACATATACATACATACATACATATATATATATACATATATATACACATATATACATATATATACACACATATATACACACATATATACACACATATATACACACACATATATACACACATATATATACACACATATATACACACATATATATACACACATATATATACACATATATACATATA